CATCAAGGTTTCAAAGAACCTTCTTTCACCTTTCTTAGGAAGGATACTCAAAGTGGACTCTTGCTCTAGAAAGACTTAGCACTGAGTTCTTTTTTCAGCAAAGAAGTCCATCTAATTCTAAAGGAACGTAGGCATTTGAAAATGGATTAGCAATCAGATCAACATAAGATGTGCCTTCTTTTTTTATGATGAAGAGATTTAACATTATGGTCCTCTTTGTAGTTGTCTCCAAGGCATATTTGTCTCTCAAAGAGGCAGCACTTGCTGGTTGTGATGAACCCTCTCAGTAAAGCACCATATTTTATGACACTATTGAATTTTGTGGTGCGTAATTAGCTATAAAATGCAGCATTGGATGAAGCAGTCTGACAACTCTCCCATGAATTTTGTTTAAAAAAAAAATCTAAGCAAAAAGATACATGACCATATATTTCTCCAGCTAACAGCCTGAGCAAGTTTCATTATTGCCTGCAGAAGTCTGCCAATATTTTAAACCCTGACAAGAAACCTGTGCCATGATGAGTTTAGTAATCCCAGTATCACTGCTCCTTCTGTCCCTTCACCCAGTTCCTGGCTGTTATACTCAAGGTTACACCCTGGCTCCATCTTTTTCTACCTCCAGGGCTTGGAATGACTTCTTTGACCCAAAGCAGCACCTTACCTCCCTCAGATCCTTCCTAGAAACACAATGCTTCTGGGAGGTCCATTTCTGCTGACTTTCCTCCATACAATATCATTACCCATCCCAGGATCATGTCTTCTCTTCCCCAAAATGAACCAGCAAGAAAAAGTATTCCCTACCCCACCCTGTTTTAAGAGAACTAAAAGGAATGTCCAGTAGTTAAGGCACTAGCTTGGTTCTGGGAAGACCTAGGTGCAGTTTCCTGTTTCACTACTGATATCCTGCATGCATCTGTCCAGTCACAGATCTGTGGAGGTAGTTAAGCACCAAAGTATGCAGTGAGATTTTTCAAAAGCCCCTAGTGGCTAGCTTTGACACATTCAGTTGTAATGAGGTATAAGTGCCTCATCATTTCTGAAAATCCCAACAAGCACCTTTCCCCGTTTGAGGCACCTGAACACATGTAAGAATCTAACCCTTTGCCAGTGACTGCAGACTACAGTCTCCTTGTCCCAGAGTTGGCACTGAAGCTGGTTGGAAAGAAGTCTGAGTCTGGCTTTGTTAATCTGAGTGTCTATAGTTTTGGGGATGCATGGTAATTGAAGCAATCCCTGCTCCAGGTCTTTATAGCATGCATCCCAGTTGGTGGGATCAGAGCAGATACTTTTGTAATACAGGCAGTCCTCGACTTACAACATTTCAAGTTACAACATTTTGCACTTACAACATTTATAAATTGACACCCTATTTCAACTTTATGATGTTAGTTTCGACTTTACAATGATTGATCTGATGCAATGCCACACCAGCAAACAAGTTTGCTGTGTGGCTCATCTCCCTGGAGAACATCTGTCCAAACTTCCTTAAGAAAGCAGACAAGACTCCAGAAAAACCTGCAGCCAAGACTCCTGAGAAGACTCCAACCAACAGCCCTTCAAAAGTCCAGCAAAGTCACCTCAAAGAAGTCCTTCCAAATCAATATGATTGCTATTTACAATATAAATACAGTAATGTAGCTACATTACTCATCTATAATTGATCGAGTACAAAATTTGGGGATATTTTTAGTGAAAAAAGGGTATTGGGCCTTGGTTCAGCAACCAATCCCCCATTTATAACGTTATTTCTTATGAGAAAATTGGTTCTGAGTTGCAACATTTCAACTTAAGATGCGGTTTTTAAGAACCAATTGTATCCTCGGTCTGAGAACTGCCTGTATAGAGCATGGCTGCAGACAATGGATCCAGTGGTGTACTTAGGATGAAGGCTGGTGGTGTAAAAGTAGCTGTAGCAATTGCTTGGTTTCTGAAACAACGTGGTGATGATGTGGTCATTGCAAACTTTCATTCTAATGTCTAAGAAATGAATATGTTGGATGGACTATTAGCTGGTTCAATGGAGGGTTGGAAATTATTAAAGTCCTGGTGACATTTCTCTAGCTATTTGTTCTCATACATCCATACAACGAAGATATCATTGATGTGCCCTAAATTAGGGGGATGAGAGGACAGCTAGGAAGGAAACAGACTTCAAGTTCTGTCATAAATATGATGGCATACTGGAAGGCCATATGCATGACCATGGAACTGCCATTCATGTTAACTGGTAGATTGCCCTTGCAGGCCAATTTCCTTAAGAAATGTGTGGTGTTTTTCAAATACCTGGAAAGTCTAGTGATATACGGGAATAGGACAGAATCAACAAGGCCAGAAACTCCATCCATGATGGTGCCAATGCGAGAGATAATAGGGCACCCTGGGTTACCAGGTTTGTGGATCTTGGGTAATAAGTAAAAGTTGCCTGCCTTGAGATCCTGGAATCTCAAAGCAGTACTCCTCTTCTGAGTTCCCCAAGGTAGATCCTGTATGAATTTATCCAGTTCCATCTGGTATTGTGCTATGGGGTCCTCTGTCAGGAGTTTGTAAAACTGTTGTAAAGTCTCTCAGCTTCCTGTACATACAAGAGTGGCACCCCCGCCTTATTACTATGTTGCATGATAATATCCAAGTTGTTTTTAAGGCCAAGTATGGTTCTCTGTTCCACATCACTGGGGTTGTAATATAAATGTTGATTTTTTGCAATCTCAGAGTGGGCATTGAGGCAAAAACAGTCTATGTACTAAGTCCAGAGCGGGGATGCAGCCCTTGAGCGGAGTCCAGGAATGGTCCTTCTTCTTGTTCTGCATATATATCTGATCTTGGTCAGGTTGATCTTTAGATGGCTACTTGTCGTGGAAACGTTTTCTCAGTCTTAGGCAGCAGAAAAAAGCCTCAAGGTCTCCATACAGCTGCACTGTTTTAAACTGTGTAGTACAGCAGCATGACAGACCACAAGATAGTACAGACACCTCAGCCAGACAGAGAATGCAGCTGGGTAGCTTGGTGACATTACTGTGGATTGTAGGTTTGTTGCTGGGACATGCAAATTTGGAAAGTTTTGCTTCCACCTCCTTTTTTAAGGAGTGAAGCCATTTGTGGCAGGCTTCATGGCTGGACACAGAGATTTCCTCCTGGTAAGTGTTCTGTCCAGCTGGTTCTCTATTCTGGTTGTTAATTCTGCAAGCCTGATGTTGAGCTGTGCCTGTTTACTGCAGAGAACACTAATAATACCTTTTAATGGGTCCCCGATTCGATTCGTATTTGGAGATTCAGATGCTAAATTGGGCCAAGTCTCCTCCGAATTGGCCCGACAAAACTGAACCTGAACTCCTGAGTCACGACCAAAGCCCCCGTAATAGCAGCATTAAATCTCCATGCAAACCCTTTCATTGGGGGGAAGAATCAGCCACATACATAAATATACAGCAGGGAAGGGCTTAGGCAAATGAAAAGTCTACAACAGTGGTCACCAACCAGTGGATCTTGATCCACCAGTAGATCTCAGAGCCTCTTGGATCAAGGCTGGGGTGGGGGGGCTGAGTGCCTGTGTGCATGCACACACACACCCTTACCTTTTAATGGGTCCCCTGATTCGATTCAATACTTGGACAGTTCATTCATGCTGAGCTCCACTGTGCTGCAGCTTGACTGTTACCAGTACCTGAGCTAGTTTCATACTTGGACAGTTCAGCCCAGCTGAGCTCTATCCTCCTGCAGCTTCACTGCTACTAGTACCTGAGCTAGATTAAAGCCAGGTAAGGAGCCAATAAGGGCCATTGTATAGGGCAGTGGTATTCAACCTTCTTTTCCTGTGAGCTGGATGAATGGTGTGAGGCATAGGATTGGTCCTGCATCCTAGAGCTGGCCGCATACACAGGCCTGATACCACATGATCTCATGCACTGGCCCAAACCCATGCACTTGGATGTGGCCATGAACCAATGTGATCTAGAATGTAGGGCAATATCACCTGGTTCACAGGGCTCCCCACTGGTCTGGAAATTTTGCAGAAGGTTTTCAGACCTGTGGGGAGACCCACAGGCATGGTAACATGGCCTTGTTGACCAGATGTTGAGAACCACTGGTACAGAGATTTAGGTGACTCAAAATGGAGGGCAGGCATACCTGGGGATTCTCAATTGCACTTCTCTACCTCTCAGGTATGTATCATGTTCATACTTCCAGCCCTGGTTCTTGAAGCTATGCATCACCTGGCCCTTGTCTACTCTCTCATTTTGTCTTCATTTATATGTCTTCTGGCTCCTCCACTTCACCAGTCCTAATACCTGCAGTGCCTCTTCTTACACCCACCCAACAACTTTAGAACTCCTACCCTAAAGGTTTCCACCTAGACCATCTTCAAGTCCCTCCTAATGGTTGTGTATTACAGATACAACAGCTCACTATATGGCACTTGCCCCTAATTCAGTTCCTACCAACCCTGAAGGTGTCTTTCCCTAAAATACTGTAAGTTCCTGACATCAGGCTGATGAATTAGAACTTTATGAGAAGGGCCGGGTGTGGTTTTATCAGTAAGGATTGCAGTGGAATTACTGGCAAGATCTATTCATTACCATCTACCTAACCCAAGGCCTTTTACTTCCCTCAGATGTAATGGACTCAATTAGACAAGTTTTAAGTTTGCTTCGTTTGTTTGTTTTTAAGAAACTTTGGAACCCTTTACAAAGATCTAGTTTTTCTTCCTTTATTATATAAGGACCTCTACAATATATGCTTTTATTTCAACCACTGCTATTAATATTCATTTTGCAACTTATTTTGGTATGGTAAAATTTTAATCTCTGGCCTGTCCACGACTCACTTTTTTCTGCCACTGTAGAGCAAATACAGTGGAAGAACACACCTTTCATTACCCGTTGAACTCAGTACAATACACAGACTGAACAACATTAAGAAAAAATAATCAGCATTAACTGCTTTCAATGTATTCCCATGGTAAGAAGAAAAGTATAATGACAATGGCTTTCATTTAGACTTACCGTCATATGCAGAGAGGACCCAAGGGAAAGCTGCAGTGTGTTGGGTGTGTGTGGGAGAACAGCAATGTTGAACATATGGGTTTCCAAATGGGTTTGCGGAGCAGTAACACTGGATACCTGTGAATGCCAGAACACCAAAATGAAATCCTAATAATGATTCCTTCAACAGTGAAGGAGTTTCAAAACACAACTGGATTTTTAGACTTTCTTCATAACCCTTGTTCTGGCTCGGGGAGGACAAAGATAGAGGGCCAATTCAGAAAACCTAAGCTGGCATTATAACTAAGAAGGTAACTGCTGAAGACCACACTAATTTTGAAGGCTGATTGCTCCATGATTCAAATATACTCCTAAAATAGGTGTACTTTCAAAGTCAGATTGTGCTGCTCTGTGCCACAAGTTACTCCTAGGTTTGAAAGTTGCAAGAGAAGCCTGTTAGCTTTACAATGCCCATGACACAATCCCAACACCAAGTGAAGTTAAGTTGTGTATAACTCAACACAGTCCATTTACTCTTGCTGTTTTGTTGAACACTGCATGGATCCAAAACAATTTTACGTTTACAATAGTTAAATAAAATTAAAACATAATATAAAAACAATGCTATAAATGTTTTTAACAATTCTGAAATGAAGGAAGAAGCATCAACTCAAATTCCTTGAAGGCTCAGCACCCAAGAAAAGACACTCAGTGTAAGGATGAGACTACAAGGCCCTTATTAAGCTGGGCACAGATTCATAGGCTTATCCTTAAGCATGTTCTTAAATCCACTGGTAACTTCAACAGAACATAAGCACTTGACTTAAGCACATGCTCAAAGTTAAGAACATGAATAAATATGCTTTGCTGCATTAAGGCCCAAGAGAGTTAAAAATGAAATTATCCTTATTTGTTAGGTCTGTTTTAAGTCAAGGTCACTTGAACTAACATTGCCAAAGTGCTGATTAAAATAAAATGTCAGCCTTTCCCAAGAATCACTGGTCTGAATTCAGGAAGATGCATGATGATCTCCTGATGAGATGTAACTAATTGTAGCTCCTTTTCTCAGGATGGCTCTCTCTACAATTATTGCCATTGCGCCAAGATACTAAAAACAAACATCTAACTCATGCAAAATGCATATACTCTAATAGCAACACAGCAATTAAATTAAAGATTAGCTTGCTCAACATCCGATGCTCACAACTTCCTCATTATCACTTATGTTAATTACTTCAGAAATTACCTTAATTGCCTCTCTAGTGCTACAGTAATAGCTTTTAAGTTGTAAACCAAATGTAACAAATATTGTATGCAAGTGCTCATATTGGCTTAGCATTACAGAAGACTGTTAAACTTCCCCAGCAAACAGCTAGAACTTGGCTGAGGGATTTTATGGTGATTATGACTGCTGGAGAAGGGGGTTATTTTATTATTACATCTGCTGGGGAATATTTGTATCTTTCTGTCTATTTGCACATTCATTGTTGGAAGGAGAAGATCAGTCTATTGTGAAAATTAAATTATTACTTAACGCGCCCTAGAGAGTACAGAATAGACACTTGACTCTGGTGTCCACAAATGTAACTCATTTCTCATAGTCACTGCGCTCAGCTTAGCTGCTATAAACCTAGGGAAGATATTTTCTATACAGCAAAGTGGCTGAATCTCTCTCCTGTAAATGTCAAACAAAACTGAACCTGAACTCCTGAGTCATGACCAAAGCCCCCACAATAGCAGCATTAAATCTCCATGCAATCCCTTTCATTGGGGGAAGAATCAGCCACATACATAAATATACAGCAGGGAAGGGCTTAGGCAAATGAAAAGTCTACAACAGTGGTCACCAACCAGTGGATCTTGATCCACCGGTAGATCTCAGAGCCTCTTGGATCGAGGCTGGGGTAGGGGGGCTGAGTGCCCGTGTGCATGCGCACACACGCCCCAACCCACCAGGTCCATCTGCAGGGGAGGGAAGGGGCAGGGACTAGATTGAGGCCCCTGCAGTGAGGGACAGCGTTGCAGAGACAGGAGCAGGGGTAAGTTGAGTGCGGCTGTGGCTGGGGAGGCATGCCCCTAAATAATTTTTCCTCCCTCTGCCCCAATCTGCCCCCCACCCCCCTGACTTACCTGCTTGGGGAGTGGGGGTGAGGGGGAATGCTGGGGTGGTGCATGGTAGATCTTGGGTTGCTTTTAAATGCCAAAGATGATCACCTACTTAAAAAGGTTGGAGACTACTGACCTACAAGGATTTCAAGATCTCCATGTGTTATGCCTCACACAATTCAGACATGGCCAGGGCATCCACTGCAAAAAAAACAGTGTCAACCATGTCTTTTGCCCCCTGGTTTGCCCCTGGTGCCAGGTGTCTCTGGGATTTCTCATTCTTGAAAATAATTTCCCCCATGCATGGAAAGAGTAGAGGATCTGCAGAAAATCTCAGAGGACATGAAGCCATTATCTTTTCCAATGGCATGGATAGAGTTTAAAGAGGGCAGGGATATACCATATGTCAGCAGCTCCACAGTGATGGTCAATGTGTCTGTTCTCCTTGCATGGTAACTGAATATAAAGGAGGAGCAGTTTACTCCTCAACAAAACAGAATTCATTCACCTTACTTTAACTCTTATTTACCACCAGCCCAAAGCAGGCACAAGGGTTGATACCATGTAGAAGCTGACATGAAGTAAATCCTCATTCCTTTTAACTCTGTAATTTTGTTAATTTGTCTACAACTTTTGTGACAGTCTCTAAGGGCAGTAGGGAAATATGCCTCCTTTTCCTCCAATCCATTCTCTCCGAAACCCACTCTTCATGATTCTCCCACTCAAGCCAGTCAGCCCCACGGCTCTCCTACACACCAGCCCTGAATGCAAAAGATCACATCATCATCCTTCCAGAAATAGAGGGGTCATCCTTAGAGGCAGCTGAACATCTCATTTCAAAGCTCTGGAGAAAGAAGTTACAATCCTGACACCTATCAAGGGTCAGTCTCTGGAAACACCAGTCCTAGCTACATCTCATACAGTGCAATGAGTCTGCTCTTTCTGTTTGTGATGGTCTTAATGTAGGGCCTACACATGCAGACGCGGTGCGCCTGTTTGCTCTGAAAAGTGATAGTCTCTTGCATGCCCTTCTGTTCTGCTTAGATACATTACCAGGATAAACCAGGGGTGGACAGTTATTTGGGCTGGAGGGCTCCTTAATGAGTTTTGTTAAGCCGTTGAAGACTGCATATGTACATACAGACATGTACATGTGCAAACACACAGGCACATGCAGATACACCTGCACGAAGACATGAGCTCCCTGCATCTCTGCCCACAACCCGTCACCCTGTGTCCCTGGCATGAAGCCACATTGGGCAGAAGGCGCACGAGTTGCTCCATCCATGCTGACATGGCCCAAAGCAATATGCAGAAACAGTGTGGCACTGGCTTAGTCCAGATGCATGCCAGGGTCTTAGGCTGGGAAAGAGGGTTCAGGGAGAAGTGGGGGAACACAGCGCGGCACTAGCCTGGCCTGGCCTAGCCTCATGCTGAGGGCTTCGGGCAGGGCAAGGGGTGCAGGGAGAAGAGGGCTGAGAGCCACAGGTTATCTGGGCCCAGCCATGCTGGTACCTCACTGTGGTCCCTCTTTCACTCTGCACCCCCTCCCCTGCCCTGAGTCCTCAGGACACAGTCAGGCTAGGCCAGTGCCATGCTGTATTTCCACACGCTGCTTCGGGCCACGTGAGCACAGCTAGAGCAGTAGGCACAGCTCCTGCCCAACCCAGCTATGCTCCAGAGACTCAGGGTCAGGCAAGAATGGTGTCAGTGTTGAGCAGGAGCTACACCAGCCACACCAGCTGCATCTATGTGGCATGGCCCAAAGTAGCATACAGGAACATATAGTGCAACCCCGCATTAACAGTGCCCACGTCCCTACTAGGCCCCAGCCTGGCCCAGCAGGGCCCTGAGAACCTGCAGCTCCTGGCCCTCTTCCCCTTGCACCCACTTCTCTGCTGCAGGGGAGAACCCTACCTCAGCTTTGACTCGCCAGGGGCCAAGCTGTCTGGTCTGCGAATGACCATGGGGTCAGAACTGCACCCAGAGAGCCTCACTGGGCAGAAGTCTGGCAGGGAGCTCAGTGCCCCCTGCCTTGAAGTGTGCTGGGGGTGCAGCAGGCCAGGGGAGGCTGGGCCAGGGAGAGGAGTGGCTGCCTGGCCACTGGAGTTGTGGCTACTGCTGCAGCCAGCTATGGCATGGGAAAAGTAGAAGGGCAAAAGGCATAAGAAGCCAGGTCAGCTGTGGGCCAGATGCAATCCTCCTTCAGAGGAGCAGCCACGGGACCAGACAGAATTATTTGGTGGGCCAGATCTGGCCTGCAGGCCATATTTTGCCCATCCCTGGGATAGACTATTGCAAACTAACTTTGCCTTCTGAGAGTGGTTCCATTTACACATGTAGACAAACTGTTTGGAGTTGACAATCCCATTGTAAGTCACCTAAAAGGCAGCATTCTTTAAATATGCAATGTAGCCTATGATCTGACAAATGAGGTCAGCGTCCCCATTTGAAGGTCATTCTAATAGATCAGCCTCCAGATGAATGGCTCTTCTACACTAGACAGCACAATGGAGCAAATCCTGAAGCCCTTATTCAGTCAAACTCTCTTTGGCATAAATGGCAGTTTTCCCTGTGAAATATGATTTCTGGGGACTGATTAAAACTTTGCATCCCCAGACACAAGTATCATGCATAATAGATAAGAGCTAGGGCACAGCAGAGAGAGGAAATTACGGAGGAAAACAAAAGCTGCTTCACAACAGCTGGCTTAATTATGATTCTCAACAGACAGTACCTGGAAATCGAAGGAATCACTTTCTACTTGAGATCCAGAGTGCTTGTACCACACAATGCCTTCATTGATGTCCCGCTGGGTGAAGGACATGGTTGGTGTGGCTGCTCTTCCATCTGGTAAGCGCTGCCATGATTCAGCTGGGCCATCTGCTGGCATGGGCAACAGAAGGACCACTTCACCTGTGAAAGCAGAAATGTACAGTGAGAGCATACATACAAGGAAAGAAGGTATCAGAATGGCCTTTGCTTTTTATTAGATGACACATAATAGCCTCATTATTTCTAAGATTTGTCAAGTAAGTCAAATAAAAACCTTGCTAAGGATTATACTACAAAAACAACGCCACATCCTGAAAAATGAAATGTTATTACTTGTTTGTTATGGAGTTATATATGATGAGTGAAAAAGTTAAATGATATCCTTTTACATTTTGTATTCATGCATATAAATTTAGCCTTAATGTATAGCAGGCTCCCTGAACAACTGTAGAAGAACTGAATAAGCTGTATTTTATTGTACATCTCTTTTCTGTCTTGATCTATGAAAGTGTCCCCTTATGACTATGAATCAAAAAACACATACATTATGTATTATTTTAGCTGTGCTGGCAGCATTAATCATTCTGATTTGCAAAATACTCATTTTAAGCCCTTTTAGTTCATTTCCCAAAACCACATTCAAATAATGTCTGAGTAATAAAAATCAGCAGGCTGCAATATCATGCTTCTGTCTTCATGATCCATCATTCCAATTATAAGCCCACTTCTGATACCTTTACTCACATGAAATTAGAAATCTATTCAACAAAAGCTTTCTTAGGATTTTTTAAAATCATTAGGACTATTCACACAGTAATGTGCTACTCAATGTGACAACTGTCAAAATAATTTGGGGTTTAGAACCTGGTTCTAATATACCATGGACAAAAGCTCTAACCATTAGGCTATTGGGTTGAAGGCACGAGGGCTTCCCCCAGCAGTTAATAGTCTCAGTTTTCTCATGACTAGCATGTCAGAGCCTTGCATGGGGTCACGTGCCCTCCCAGAAGAAACAGGATCTAAAATCTATGCAGGTGACCCAAAATGGTACCAACATGAATGTTAAGTACCTGCCTAAAGGTACAACTGGATTTGGGCCTAGGACTCAGGGCCTATTTTCTGCATTTTTTTTTTTATTACCAAGAATAAATTTTTCATATACAAACTTTGTAGATCATAGGCTCCTGCTCCTTGTTTCACACCTGATGCCATAAAGTTTGTTTGTTAATTAAGAATTAATTCCTCTGAGAATAATTATTGGACACAAGAGATGTGTCTACATAAGACGCTACTGTGCAGTTGTTACTGTGCTTTTATTTCGCACTTGTATAAACAAGTATTAAATAAATGCGCAGTAACCTGAATTACTGCGCAGTAGCACTGGTGAACACCTTTTCTGTGACACTACTGTACAGTAGCCTAATACTACTGCACAGTGGTATCGCATCATGGTTTTTGCCATGCAAGGCTACATTTTATGTAGATATGTCCAAGGAAAGGAATATAATTTCAGATTAAAATTAGGCATCAGAAAATGAGATTATGAAGAGAAAACTCCTAATTTCATTAATCTGTGCCTCGTTATTAAAAAGGAGAAGGTTTCTGGCATATATAAATGAAATGCCTCTTGTCTAGCCAGCCCTGGTTTGTAATAAATGCTTCTATGAGGGGTCAGCTGAGATTTAAAAAAACCAAACTATTATAAAAACAACAGGCAAAAAGAGAAGACTGTGTTGTTAATGCAACATTGTATCCTATCCAGTAAATTAAAACAGTTGCTTCATTGAGATCACATGTTATTTAAAGAGATACTGTTTCATCCACAGGGACAAAATCTGATAAGAAAACTTTGCATTTTGTTCACATTTAGCATCCAGCCCTGTTGTGCTGTATCTTTTTGCATGTAGCTTCTCCGCATTTGTATTTCAGTCACAAATTCCATTATTTTCCACCCTCTTTTCCCTCAACCTGTAGGGTGCTTTTAAAAATCACAGTTCTGCAAAATGAAGACTGCTTGTGAATGCAGCTGCTCAGATTGGAGATTAGTGCTCCACAATGGGAATTTGAAGAAAAGGATTAGAAAAGATTTCAAATACCAGCAATTTAGCTCAAGTCAGTGACTCCCTCTGTCATATGCATACACGTGTGCACTTGCGCACGCGCACACACATGCAAAATCAAGTCCTTTTTTGGCCAAATGGAGCTTGTGCTCAATTGCTTCCCAGCATTTATGATATTCTGTGCTACTCCTAATCTAAAATTTATCACACAACAATATTATTTGGCATACACTGATGAGACTGTCTTTACAAGGGTATCAATCCATAACAACTTAATTGACAGGGATGATCCTGCCTTAAACAGGAGGTTGGACTAGATGACCTCTTAAAGTCCTAAGTGGGTGTTGTCTACATGTTCACTAATGCACTTCAAGTAATGCACTTTAAATCTAGTGCCTTCATTATGAGGTACTAGAAAAATGCATATTGGCCTATTTTAATGAGCATTAGCTAAAAAGCACTTTTTGTGATGATTTAATATGCAGTAAAAGAGGCTAATGTGCATTAAAGTGCACATGTAGATGGCCTATCTCAGACCTATTTTTCTGTGATTCTGTAACCACAATTCATTTTGAACCATGGGGCAATGAAGCAGAATGTGCAGATCTAACAACTGGACATTAGATCTGGAGTTGAAGCATGACTAATATGACTATTTTATAAGCTTATGGGCCTATTTGAACTGGTCACTGGACAGATCTGGATGCTGTGCTTAGGAATGCCTGTTAGAAAATAAGACTGAAGAACTGTCTTCTCAAAATCTTTCTGACCTGTGTGAAATACAACAAAATGACAACAGCCTTCATCAATCAATGCTGTGTGTTCCTTACACAGCCAGTGTCATTTCTTTGTACTAAGTGACCAGGTACATTAAGATGCCTATGCTTCTGCTTGGGGATGGGAGACCCAGGAAAGAAGACCACCACTACTACCACCACAAGATGGAAGATAAAAGCCCCAGAATAAGGTTACCATATCGCGGCTGGTCCTTGATGATTGTGTAGGTGATCTCAGAGTCGCCGGCACCAGGCACCTCTGCTCGCAAAATCCTATTAGTGATCTGCAGCATTCCTCCCTCTGGGACCCACACCAAGGAGTTTGTAAGCAGTCGTGGGCCTCTGTCACTCTGCAAGTGGGGAGCAAAGCAGCAAAGGTCTGGCTGACCAGCAGTGGTAATGGGCCAGTATACTCAGATTTCTAAAGTGAGAAGGCTGAGATGAAATATTCCAAATTCACAGTGTTTAGTTCTTTGACTCTCTCAATCTCTTTCACAAAGAAAACCTCTATTCTCCTTTTGCCCACTCACTCTTCCCTTTTGCCCTCCACTACTCCTCCCCAAGACCCTTTTCTGACATCAACCCTTTTACCTGGCTCCTGTATTCCTAACACCCACTGATCTCAATTCCCCATCTGGCACCATTGTCTTTAGTTTCCCTCAGTTGCCCTCTTTTCTTCTATGGCAGAAGGGAGGCCAGAGTGACAGAAACCTTAGAGACTAGTTGCCTTCTTCACCCTCCATGTCCTGATGTCATCTTCATCTTCCCTTTCTTTCCCTTCGCAATTGCTCTGCTGTTGGGTTTATCTCTATGACACTACAGGTGCAAATGTCACATGAAGTGCTTCATAATGAAGCATTTCAAAGCTGTTCCTGTTTTGTTCCAACATCATTTTTGAAAAGCTGCATTGGCCAAGTATATTTGCACCTTCACCCTTTGATATGCTTTAAAGGCACTTAGAGTGCTTCACATGTTACATCTGTGCATGCCCTATGAAAAGTCCACCTGCTCTTCACCATTTTCACTCCAAAACCTTTGTCTGGGTCTAGAATACTCACCCACATGTCTCTTATCTCTCCTTGCTTCTGAAAACCTACTCTCCCAAAGGATGCTCACAAACCGAAGCCTCTTAAAATTTAAAAAAGCCTTAAATAATGCTCCCAAAGTAACTTTTAAGTCTCTAAAGCTTGCATCATAATGTATTCTGCTTTCTGAACTAACAACTGCTTTCCCCCCTGCCATCTAAAATAAATGGAAACCTTTCCCCCAAGTAATTCCTGGTATAACTTTGCAATTCCAAAAGTCTTGTTAATACATGAATAGGCTTAGGGGCCCTGGTGTGATAGTGACAAGTATTTGGAGACACCAAACTCTGTCCTGCTTTATTTGTGACTGAAGTTTTCCAACTGGAAAATAAATATTTGGGGAGCCAAATTTCTCTGACAAGTTTCTTTGTCATAAAGCCCATTTAACAACATCAACACAAGCTTTCACACACCCAAAATTTGGACTGCAAATTCTAAGGCTTGGGAAGATCATTATGATCACCTAGTGTGATGTACTGCATTGCAGAGCCTGTAGAATTCCACCCAGTGATTCCTGCCTCAAGCTTTATCTTCTGATTGAACTAGAGCTTCTGGTTGAGAATGACATCCAGTCATGATTTAAAGACTGAACTCAAAAAACCCACTGCACCATTTGATAAATATTCCAGTGGGTAATTGCCTTCCCTGTTAAAAATCTCTGATTTATTCATAGTCTATACTTATCTAGCCACATCTTCCAATTGTCTAATTATATCTCCATTCACTAAATAAAAGAGCTGACTCCTATCAGAAATCTCCACATACAGGTACTTATGCATTATGATCAAGTCAATTCTTCAGCTTCTCCTTGATAAAACAAAACATACTGAGCTTGCAAAATCTGTCACTGTGAGACAGGTTTTCCAGACCTCACACCATTCCTGCAGCTGTCTTCAGAAGCCTTCACAATTTTTTCAGTTTAGTCCTTGATGTGGACATCCAAAAGGGAGCAGTATTAGTCCAACCTCCCTACTCCAATGCAATATTTTCTTGTTTTTTACACCCACAAATTTTATCAGTCTTCTTAGACACAGTATCAGATGAGTAGCCAGTAAGGTTACCGCCTAAGACACCATAAGCCCTCTCCAGTGTCACTGCTTTCTAGCAAAGTCCCCCATAACTAAGAACCTACCAAATTTGTTAATTCCCAGAATCCGCAATATCCAGAAAGGCCTGCAAAATCCCACCCACCGCCAGACTTACTTGCAGAGAGCTGCTCTCCAGGCTGCCTGGCGGCCATGTGCATGAGTAAGCATGCACCTGGCACCCCCTGCCTGACTGCCCTCCGCCTGCGCCCCCCCAGCCCCTTTCAGACTGCAACTCTTCCAGCCTGCACAGGGAAACTCATTGCTTCTCATTTTTTCTCTCCTCAAAATAAGAATATCTGGGTTTTCTCCTCAAAATGAGAATATCTGGGTTTTAACACATTTTTTCATAGCAAACAGATAACCCAGATGCCTGATCATCATTTACACCTCCATCTAAAATCTTTAGTTTGTCATGACTTCATATTTTCTTCCAAATCACAGGTAAAGATACTGAATAGCAATGGACCAAGAAGTGAGCCCTATGGAAAGACACACCCCTACTGAAAAATGATGTTTTCCATTTATTTTTAGATCTCTCAGTTAGCCAGTTTTTAAAAGCCATTTAATATAGGCTACATAAATTTTGCCTACTGTTGATATTATATTCAAATTATTATGTAATCCTAATTGTTACAGCATGTAAAATAAAGAATTCTGCTTGAACAAATGGCTGCTTTATTCTTTAGAGAACTGAACAGAAATAAGACAAGATGGGTTACCAACAAAAGAGAATACTAACAGTACAGAAGGGAACTTTCCACTTGTCTTAACATGTCAGCAGAGTCACAACACATATAGGGCCTTTAACATCAAAGCATAGCTCTGGAGCAGGAAATGACCAGGTTGAAAAGGCCAGAGAGATTTACTAGGTTTATTACAGCATAGAAGAAAAGAGAGAGAGACTAGTCATGTTTCAGAGTACTTGAAGGTGAGCAGACAAAATGCACTCTTTGATAATAAATAATTTCAAAGTAACTGTTAATTAGAAGCAAGGTCCCAGTTCCAGTGTAATAATGGTACCAGTGGATAAATGAATTAAGGGGCCCTTCAGTTCCCACAGTGTGCCAGTCTGTCATTTTGCAATAATATTCCCAGCTAGTTTGGATGCTGTGATCCAAACAACATGTACTCAACAAAAGACTCCTTTGCTTGCTAATCTTTTGCTTTTTTTCCTCCTTTAAGTAACCCACTATTGCTAGATCTGACAGTTCTCCCCCTCATTAAGGTAACTGGAATCCTCTTGGATTTTTCTTAGTTGGCATTCAGATAAGTAGTTATATTTTTACCATGCATGACAGAGAGAGAGAGAGAGACAGAGAGAGAGAGAATGAGAGAGAGAGAACCCATTACTTATGAAAGTTGCATTTGGATAATCCGGGAGACTAAAAGGTTTCTTTGTTCAATCATGAAACATGTGCATCATGGCCTACTGCAGTGCACACTGCTCTGCCAGTGTGTCTTAACTCTAACTTGGCTGACTTGCAGTTAGCAAATCAAGAGCCTATTCAAATCTGTACCTTCCTGTGGAAACGGCCAACAAAAGCGCTAAACAGTGCCAAATTCAGTGCTGGTGGCCGTGGAATTGACAGACTTTGTACAGCAGGAATATCCATCTACTAGGAAATGACCCAAGACCACCTGCTGCCCATTCTACATGGGCCATCAGATACAAGTCAGATACAAATGGGTTTTGGCCACATCCAAATTGGGCTGCATCCAAAGCAGCTACTCAGAAGGGAAAGGGTTCCGTGTTTCATACCAAGGGATCACGAAGGCCAACGTCTACAATATGTAACATGCAACAAGATCTCTCCTCTTTAACTGATTCAATGCTGAAAGGGGCCACAAGTTTCTAGGGGGTGGGCTTTCTTCCCTACCATCCCCCTCCAGAGCATCATTAATGACTGGGCAATCTGCAACAATATACATTTCAAATGCTTGGAGGGTGTCAGACAGCAACACATACTCATGCAAATCATTACGACATGCTCCTGTAAAAAAGGCCAATCCTTGCAACTTCCAACAGTTCAAAAAGTTCTTGAGCAAGCACTGACAAACATGGAAGACTGAGATGTCAGCAAAGATACGGATTAAAGAAAATGCTTTGCAGAAACCAATACATGGTGGGTCTAAATCAATAAACATCTCAACTTCAAAATACCTGAAAGAACCAGGTCACTGCTGTTTTCCATTCTGGCAGTACTGGTGTGCTGCTTCACTGGCTGAAACGTGATTCTTTAAGCCGAGGTAAAAGGAATCTTGGGACTATTTATTTTTCAAATCACAACTTCCTCTATAAAAATCAATAAGCAATACTTTGGGCTTGGATATCATTCAGTTTCTCCAAGGAGAGTCCCTCCTTTCTCAGGAGAAACCATGAGTGTACAGAGGTTCATTATTTTTCTCCTAGAGTAAAAGTGGCCACTCTGGGAGAAAAATAACTGAAGAACACCCCCTGTGAAGTGGCTCCCTGGAGACTAACAGAAGGGGAAGGAGAGAGTGTGTCAGTCCCAGCCACGCAGGGAACAGAAAATGGCTCTGAGTCTTTAAAGCTCAGCGCTGAAGCACTTAGGAGGTATAGACTGTTTTGCTCCTGGCTTCTCTGCTTGAATCGCACTGCAGCACTTGGGTGCCAGGAAGCACACAAGCATATCCCCGCCCAGCCACAGGTGGGCTACAACACAGCATGGGGGAGGGAAAGGCTGGAGGACCCTATGCACAGCACAGACCATGTCCCCACCTTCCCTGACCCTGACATAGTCACTTGAACAAAAAGCCTGAAAACTCTCTAGGCTGCATGCCCTCGAGACCCTCTGGCAGCCCAGTGCTTCTCTGTTTGCCCTTCCGTACAGGTAAGTTTTTCTCTCAGGGAAAGAAACCTGGGAGAGTTGTCCTGGATGATGTGAATATATGTCAAGTCCAGTCAGTCCTGAGGCTGTTGTGACCATTGGGGAACCTTAGATGCTGTAATACCCATGTGTGAACACAACCTTTATTAGAAAGTGCCTGTACTCAAAGGTATTCAGATTAGACAAGTGGTAAAAATATAAGATGCTCCAGCTAGGTCTACATAAGATTCTACAAGAGCCTTTGGATGAAACTAGATAGGGAAAAGAAAGAGGAATATTTTGGGTGTGCATCTAAACAGCACCTCTTCAGAAACAAGCTTCACCTCCC